GAGCAGCACTTATAAAGCACTTTTCTTAAACACACACACACACACACACACACGCACACAGATAGGCAGGCAGGCATTTATTTTGCACGTTGCGTGTGGGCACAAGACACCAAATAAAGATTCCAATTCAAGTTGGCAGCCCCATAAATTGTCAATATTGCCATTTGCCGTTTGCCATTTGCCCCTGTTGTTGTTTTTGTTGTTGTTGTTGTAGTTCTTTTTCTTCTTCTTGCTGCTGTTGCTTTCCACTTTGGCACTGATTTGATTTCTGTCTGACCGTTGACTTTTTCCCAGCAACGCCTGCGCCTTCGACGTCGACGTCGCCTTCGGCTTGGCCGCCGCCTCTGCCTGCTTTTCTTTATGGCCAAACTGTATTTTTGGCCAAAATGTCACTTTTTTATTGTCTTTTTATGAGCGCAGCGTGTCGCTGGCCTGGCCCTCACAGCCAGTTGTTAAACGTGCGCCGCAACTTTCGATTAACGAAAATTATTTCACTACATTAGTGTCTCAGTGTGTGTGTGTGTGTGCTTATGTGTGTGTGTGTGTTTGCCCAGGGCCTGCAATAATTGGGATTTCCTTTTTATATTGGCTTATTTTCCTTTTTTTTATGACACAGCTCTCCCTCAATGGTTTAGCTTGTTTAGTTTTTTATGCAGCCAGTACCTTAACAAATGGCACTGATTTTATTCTTATTTATTGCTAGTTCTTTAAGGTTAATAAACTTGTGACAGGAGAGCTTCAAATTGTATTATAAGATATTCTCTAAATTTATATATGTATATTCAGGGTTTTACTATCGACTTGAAAGTCTGTTCTGCGCAATCAGCTCGTTTTGTGTGCTTACCAACACTGGCTTATTCACTTGACTCTTCTGGCTTGCTCTCCCGATAGAAAGTATTTCGAATTCCGATTCCGTTTTGTGTCGCATTCCTTAGCTTTTTTACAGGCAGCAGACGCAACGTTTTACTGCCTGCTTTTGATAGAGGATTTGCTTACTGAAAAAGAGTTCTAAGTTCTTAGATCTTTCTCTCTTCTTTTCTTTTATTTCTCTCTATATCTTTCTCTGTTCTTTCATTTACGGCCCTTAAACGTTTTACTGCCTCCTTTTGATAAGGAGATTCTCTTCTGAATTAGAGCTCTAGGAAAACGTCGCGAGATCTTTTCTGTCTCTCTTTTTCTCTTTCTTCCTTTCTGTCTCTCTCTCTCTCTCTCTTCCTCTGTCTCGTTCCCTCTTTTTCTCTTTTCTCTCTCATTCGCCGATTGCCCTTAAACATTTTACTGGCTGCTTTTTAAAGAGCAATAGATTTTTTTTCTGAATAAGAGTTCTAGTTAAAATTTGTAAGATCCTTCTTTCCTCTCCTCTCTCTCTTTCGATCTCTCGCTCTCTCTTTTCCCTTGAACGTTTTATTCGCTGCCTTTTTTAAGAAATATATGCACTTGTCTTTGAATAAACTGTTAGCAAGGCTGCCCAGCTCAATTCATTTTGGTTCTTCTGACAACTTTAACTGGGTATCTCATAGTCAAGCGAAAAATTGGCCTGCAACATATTTCGCTTTGGTATTGTATGCGCTTGTTTTCTAAGTCAAATGCGTTGGGCATTTCAATTGCAGCTTTTGATAAATGGCCAGCAACTGAACGTCAGCGCTTTCATCGCTTAAGCCACAGTACATTTGACGACCGTGGGTGAAAACCACCAAAAATGGCATTCAGCTTTCGCCCATTTCAGTTAAAATCCACCGCACAAAAGCCAAATGTAGAGTCTGTGTGTGTGTGTGTGTGTGTGTGTGTTGACTTGTGAAGAAGCGATGAGTCGCAGTACCTTTGGGCTTGAAGCCACAAAACACTTTTCTAGCGCAAGGTCAGCTGCACAGCAGTTGTTCTCGCACACACACACGCACACACACTAACACACGCACACTCATATTCATAACTAACGTTCGCTTTTGGGAAGCTCAGTTCCGTTGTCTCTCTCTGTGTGTGTTTGTGTGTGTGTGGCAGTTGCTTTGCCTCAGCGACACAAATTACGTGCCCGACGCGCTTGTCATGCCCGTTTCAACTTGCCGCATGCAAAAGCTGAAGTTGTTAGTCACTCGACGTTCATTATTCTGCCAAGTGCCACGCCCACCCGTCCGCGCCGCCTCCTTTGCACCGGTTGCCACAAATTTTCACGCCTCTGCCGCTGTTGCAGCTCATTTTACTTTTCGGCAACAGCAGCAACAATTGGCCCCAAGCCACAGATTTTCTGTGTCTAAAGACTCGGCCAACAATTGTTAGCATCAGACGCATGCGCATGCGTCTCACGTAGCCGTCCCCCCCTCTCCCCCCTCTCTCCCTCGCTCAGCCTGCTGCTGTTAACTTTCTGTGAAAGTTCTGTGGCTGTGACTGCATAAATCTTCCACATTTTTCTTGGCATTGTCTGTCGCGTAGATACAATCTAGCTGTATACACATATAATTTTGTTACTTTATTTTTATTTATTTATTTATATTTTTTATTTTTTGACTAGTTAGCGACCGCTGTTGGCAATTTTCCCACAGCTCGCGCATTGTTCTGAAAATGTCTCGCATAATTATGATCATAATCAACGCAATGAAATACATTTTAATAATAATGCAAAGAGTTCTCGCAACGATTAACAACACTCAAAAGCTGTGACGCGTTTTGCAAACTACTTTCACAGGCGCAAAAAAAAATAAAATCGTTTATTTTTGTCGAGTCATAAAACTAATTGTGCATTATTAAAATGCATTTAGTTGCTGGCGGTCAGCATTCTTTTGGCCACTTACGAACTGTTGAAAGTAAAATCGAAAAATATATTTTTGCCAGCTCGTGTGTGTATCTCTTGTCTATTTATTGCTGCCGCACATCTTTATGGCTAATTTATTTGTTTTATAACAATTTTGGGCTTAGCTGGATGCCAGCTTCACGCATCTGCAACTGCTGCTGCTGCTGCTGTGGCTCACATAATGTTAATGCCGCATTATGAACGCCTTTGTCGTCACATTAAAACAAACATAACAACTACGTGACTAATTATGTTGATATCAAGCATGTTTATACACACACACACACACACATCTTATTTCTTTCTTTGCTGCTTGTCTCTCCCTCTGTGTGCGTAAAAGAAAGTGAAATTAATGTTAAGTGCGCGTATAACATGTTCAGTTTTGTCAGGGCTTTGTCCATATATGTATATACATAAATATTATATATATATATCATATTTCTTTTGCCGACGCTTTTGGTTGGTTCTGCAAATGCTTTTGGCAACGTGTTTTGCATTTTTATTCAAATACAAATTAACAGCCTGCTGTGAAAACTAGACTCTAGATAAAACTAGCTAAACTTTTGGTTAAGCTACTTGAGAATTGGGGCAAGCCAATTTGTAATATTCATAAAATGAAAGTTATATATTATATATATATTTTTATCAATTTTATATATAATATGTTGTATATTTTTATATATTTTCTATTAGGTATTTAAGATTTTTTTTTATTTTTTTAGTTCTAATCTAACTATCACCTTAATATTGATTTAAAAGCGCATTGCTGCCTCAGTTCTTGCCTTGTGAAGTGAGCAAAATAAACTACAGCACATATTTTTTTGTACTATGACCTGAACCTATTGAAAACGGGTAAAAGGGTATATTGGTTTTGTGCAAGCGTATGTAACCGGCAGAGAAAGCATCCCCGACTCCATAAAGTAAATATATTCAAGATCTACCCATGTCTGTCTGTTTGTCCATCTATCTGTCGATCTATCTGTCGATCTGTCTCTCCATCTGTCTGTCCATCTATCTGTCTGTCTGTCTTTCCGTCCATAGGTATGACCGCGTCGATCTCAGAACCTATAAGAGCTACAGACTTGGACGTAGCTCTTCCTAGTGCTGATAATAGCTTCCCCTGCTTCCAAGCAATCGATACAAATCGATACAGAAATCCTGTTTTTTAAGCAAATCTCTTGAATAGTATATACAGATCATTTATCTTTCATTTTATATACCGGATTCGGATGACGCAGCAGCTTGTCGGCACACATTCTAGACAAATATTCTATACTCCATATAAAACCCAACAGCTGGCTGCCTACCGCTGCTGACTTTACCTCTAAAATGCGCATAACTTTGGATAAACCCGAACTGCATGAATGTGTGTGTATGTAACCCCAAACAGTTACAGTTCATTAACCCTCAGCTGCTGCTGTCGCTGCTGTGGTCAGTTTCATGCCAAAGTCTGCAATTGCATAGAGCTTTCCTTTTCTATATGTCGCCTTGGTCAATTTATTGCCCAATTTTTTTTTTTTGTTTTGGAACCCAGTCAAATGAAAGTGATAAATTTTGTGTGCTACGCAGTGAGAATTTTCACCATAAACTAAAAAAAACCAAAACACAGTGAAACATAAATTAAAAAAAAAACGAGCGAGCTGCGCATTAAAAAATAGTTGCACGTAATTTAGTACGCGACAACAAAGGCAGCAACTGCTACCTGAAAGGCAAATGCGACCAGCTAATAAAAAGAAAAGTGAAAAAAACAAAACAAAAATTACAAATAATACTTAATGCAAATGCGCTGCTGCTGCGCCTTGATGGGAAAGAAACTGAAAGTGCATAATTAATTAATTGTAATTTTAGATAATTTCGCTTGACTCATAAAAAATGCTAAATATGCGCCCAGCTCACGTTTTTAAGCGTCATTTAAATTGTGTTTAATATGAGAAAACACTTGGACAAAGTGTGCTGGTCGGTCGGTCGGTCGGTCGGTCGGTCAGTCGGGGCGTATGCGTGATTTATGCGCGTGTGTGTGTGGCTGTGTGTGTGGCTAAAAATACGCTAGCACAAGTGTTAGATTGAATAAAAATCGTATATTTCAAGCTGTCAAAGGCAATTTAAGCTGAAAAGCAAACAGACACACATACATAACGCCCCCCAAACCAGCCCCCACACACACACACACGCACACCCACACACACACGCACAACAACAAGAGGTATAACAACTGATGTGCGGTTTTGGTTTCATGGCTTACGGTTTTGATTGCTGCCATCGCTCAATTGATTTTCCACTAATGCCATCGATTGGCACAAACTGAAATAAAAGTGAAATGCAAAGTATTAAAAAAGTCGCACACACACACACACACACACGTGCACACACTCATACACACACCAACACACTAAAACTTAAACACCAAAATAAACAATTTGTGATGCGGCATTATTTGACATGAAATTGAAACGCATCGCGGAAAAAGAATATCTACACGCATTTTATTCAGGCCAAAGCATTCAATACTTAAATGGGATTAGTTGCGGCTCTGCTTCATTTGGCAGTGTATTAAATAGTCGGCAATGGGGTTTTTTCTATATATTTTGATATGTTCATCAGGGCGAAAAGTGAAAATCAGCATAGGCTGCCGCAAGCAGATTAAATTAATACAAAAAGAACTGTTATATAACAAAACTGTTAGAAACTGTGTGCCCTCAGGCCAGATTGAGTGATTGATTGATTGACTGATTGAAGATCAACGCACAGACCAACAAAGGTCTAGGAAACATTGCATTTTGTATTATAATTTCCCTTTGTGATCTAAGTTCAGGGCTTTTGGAAAAGTTTCACACGAATGTGTGGAACATAAGCGGGAAATAATTTTATGAATCATTTTCGTTTACATCCGATTAGCTTCAAAGTAAATATAAAATATGAATATAAAAAATCATTTAACGCATGTTTCACACTTATCGCAAGTTCCACTGTCCCGGGCGGTAATTGAGAGTCAAATGTTGTATAGTTGAAACTATAATTTTCCGCTTCAAATACATTTACAGAGGTTTTGTAAGAATTCCATCTGTTTGCGTGGAATATAAGCGAAAAACAGTTTTATGAAATTTCACCATCCGAAAACTTTGGAAGTCAAGTGTTGTATGTTTTCAGTCCAGAAAAAGTAGAAGAAAAACTTTGATAGCAAGTTTTGGACTTTTTGGGTACAGATCTGGGAAAAAAAATGAATGTACCCGGACAAAGCCGGATAATACCCGTTGATAGTGTATATACATATTTACCAAAAGATAACTATTGTAATTTAGAGAGCTGTCAAAATTGTTTGCCGTTTGTTTAAATTGATAAGCCGCAGCGCACATAAATCTTTTCAGCTGCCTCACCTTGAGGGCGGTTTTTGTTTGTTTGGCTTTTTTTTGGTGTTGTTGTTGTTGTGTGGCCTACGTCCAATTACACGAGACTCTGTTTCTGTGTGTGTGTGTCTGTGTGTCAAGTCTGTGGCTGCCCACGCCCACATATTTGCTGACACTCGATGGTCCATTTTGTGGGCGTGGCCAGCGCGTGCTGCCGCGTCCCAGCTCGCAGCACATAGCACATAAATGTCAAATGCAAGAACCATAATAATTCATTTGACTGCAAAATCCCGACTGCACTTGATATATGCAATACGCTGCGCATAGATACTCGATGCTCGACTAACTAAAACACACACCAAAACCCTTTAGCGGCAAGTCTAGCCGCGTTCTGCGAGCCTGTTCAGTGAAAATAAGACAAAATATAAAAAACAACAACAGGAAGAGAGGCTGTGAAATAAGAGAAACATAATTTAAATCAGACAGCTGCGACTCCTTTTGGCTTGCCTGAAATCGATAGATAGCATAGTTATACCCTGACCCAAATGGGTAAAAATGGGTATGTGACAGGCTGAAGAAAGCATCTCTGATCCGATAAAGAATATATTTATGAATAGCCTAGTCGATCTAGACGTGTCTGTCTATGTTTCCACGTCTCTGCCTCTGCCTCTGTCTGTCCATCTGTCTGTCTTTTCGTCCTCTAAATCCTCTTTCAAGAAAGCGATACAAATCGATATCGAAATCCTGATCAAGTATCTTTCATTTTATAGCTACCAAAGCCTTCCCTAGCGCGAACTTTATTTTGTGTTAATAAAAGAAGGTACAGGGTATCCCCTAGTCGGGCGCCACCGACTAGAACCGACTTTGAGCTGTAATAGCAGCAGAATCCTCTTAGAACTCTTATCAATCCTCAAAGCAGATCAAGCTTAACATTTGTCATATTATCTATCTTAGCTGCATTTAAGCTGGGCAATCCTTCTTAGCCTTTTTCCCAGTTAGGGTATGCTAACTTATTTATCCCAGGACATTATATTATTTTTGGCCATTTAACTGTATTTGGCATCGTTATTAATGATCACATTTAAAAAGAAATTCATTTGCATAGATTGTTAAAGTTTTTAATATTTTATTACGCATATTTCATTGTGCATTTGTGAATTTTATAACAGGTGGAAATGTCTAATGAATTTTGAATGTCGTTTTTGCCAATATAAATAAATATTTAATGTCAAATGAAAATGTGGAAAATATATTTGGCAAAAAATGTGCGCCCGCAAAATGCAGTCAAATTGATAAAAAAAAAAACGAAATAAATAAATACACTTATTTATTTATAAATTTATTATAAACATTTATATATGTATTTATTTTGTTGTTTTGTGCTTAACCAGCATTTACTACCTTTGCCTGGCTAATTAGCCGTTAGTCAACACTGGAAAAACCGCACGCGAACGTGTGCGGTGTGAAAAATGAACGCGATAAGAAAAGAACCAAAAAGAAAAGCAGAAAAATCTGCGCTAATTTGAAACTTGAAATCACAACTAATGAAGATTTAAGCAGCTGCAGCTGCGGCAAACGAATGTGTCTGGGTTGGGTTGAGGGGGGTTGAGGGGGAGAGGAGCGGCGGTGGCTGCTGCTGCGGCTCAGCTGCAAATCTCAAATGAAAACAAAACGCAACAGAAACGGCGTCCAAGGAGGCAGCGCACAAAGGCAAACAGCGCCCGTGGCAAATGCATTATTAATAAATGAAAACGCTGCGCGTGTAGATTGCAATTTATGCATGCATGAGTGTGTGTGCGAGTGTGCGAGTGTGTGTGTGCCCCACTGAACGTGCAGTTCATGGACAATGCCAGCTTGAATAAGATGTCCTTTGTTGTCTCTCCATCTGTCTATGTGTGTGTGTGTGTGTGTGCGCGCGGACATCAGCTTGTGCGTCGTTGCTTTTCCGGTGTGAATTAGCGTCGAGTGCCACATGCAATTTCCTGTTGTTGTAAATTGCAGCAGCAGCAGCAGCAGCAGCAGCAGCAGCAGTAGCTGCGTTTCTTGTGCTGTCTTTAATTGCCGCACCATGGCGCTGTTTTATGGCGGGCCACGCTTTAAATTTGAACACACTTAGCACACACACTCCACAGTTGTTGTTGTTGTTGCTGTTGTTGTTGCTGTTGTATCAGCATTCAATTTGCTTGGTTTTTAGCAACGGCAGCACAAAGCTCAACTAGCTGCGGAAATTTGCTCAGTTACTTTTGTGCAATCCCCAAATCCCAGTTCAATTTTATCTATGTATCTATCTGAAACTACTTGGCAAATAGCTTCAGCTAGTTGCGGTCCTGCCTCTGGCGCGTTGCACTGTTTGTATTTGTATCTGTAGCTGTTAGCTGTAGCTGTATCTGCAGCTGTATCTGTATCTGTAGCTGTTAGCTGTAACTGCAACTGTGTGCAGCTTCAATGAAATTGTTGACGTAAATGGACAACAAAGCCCGGCACTCAGCTGCGTTTTTTTTTTCTATCTTTTTTTTATAACCTTTGCCGTGGGTCTGCTTATTTTGTCATGTGTTTTGTAACCTAAAGAGGTCGAAATTGGCAATCGCATAAGGTGAATCAGTTTGAGTCGCAGTTTATGTCGATATAGATATGTCCTTCTGTCCAAGAGAGACTCCAGTCTAAGAGATTCTTTCTCAGGTTAAAGTCAGTTAAAAGCTTCGTCATGAAAATTTGCAGGCAGATACATATATCAGAATCTTTTGAATCGGACCACCATATCATAGGCTGCCATGAAAACTCTAACTTTTCAAAATATCTTAGAAAAACTTGGCATTATTCAGAATCGGTTGAATAGTAATTTTTTTATTCTGTTCACTTTTAGCTCAAAGCAAAAACATGCAGCTCATGTTTGCAAGGGTATTTCAACTTCGGCGTGCCGCAGTTAATCTTTTTGCCTTTGTCTTCTGCCCCTCCCCCCCTTGCAAGGGTCCTGCCCTGCCCACCACGCCCACCCACTGGGCAACCGCCTCACCCGTGCCGCCTGTTGTCGCTGCTGCACAAAAATGCATGGTTCGTTTAATGGCAACGGGGCTGAAATTCATGTTTATTGCATTTTGCATGCTGGCAAATAAACGCCTGCCCACTTTGATCGCACAAATACTGTGCTATATATATGTATATATTTATGCTATGTAAATATGTATATAGAGAAAAAAGGCAGCCACACTCGACGCAATTCAAAAGCCAGGCGCTTGCTTAATTTTTTGATTTTATTTTTTTTTTCTTGCGCTGCATTTTTTCTTTGATTTTTCTTTTATTTCTCTCCCCCATTTATAGTCCCCCTTTTGCCCCTTTTTTGTACGCCTCCCCCCCGAAAGAGTTTTGCTGACCACAAAGCCGCAGAGCTGCAGCTGCCTTGAAATGTACCTTTGCTTGGGCAAACAGACTTGATTGGCTGCCGGACGTGCGACCTCAATGGCACGTAATTAGTGCATGCTATATGCCTTTCACACACACACACACACACACACACACTAACGTGTGCATGCATGCTGGCTCAGATTGATGCCAAGTTACTTGAGAGGCCTCTTTTTTTATTTAGTTATGTGACCAGACCGCATGCAAATATCGACAGAGGCAGACGCAGAAGCAGTTAGGCAGGTATTTTGAATACGCTGCGTATACGCAATATACAGCAGGCAATACACAGGCGACTGTCAATTAAGCCTGCCGGCAACTGGCAACTGTCTATTGCAGCTTTCACTGGCAATCGATTTGTATCCTTGTTCTTTATCCTGCTAGCGATTTGCTCAGTTACAAGCAAGCCATTTGCGTGTGCAACTACCTCCGTTTGCTCAATCTTGGCTTTATTTCTACAGCTCATCGTCATCATCATCAACAGCATCATCATCATCATCAGTCTTTGGCTGTGCATCGAATGCACATTTCCAGCGCATCCCCAGGGACAAAATGATTCACAAAGCGAACATTTCTCGCACAGTTTCGCTTTATCCACCCACACAGAGAGCGAGAGGGGAGAGCAGGGAGAGTGAGGGAGCGAGCTCTGGGCACGATAATAAGATGCCTGCTTTTGTGTCAGTGCCGGCAGGCCAGTGCA